TGAAATATCAGAATGAGTTACAATCAATGCTTGCCAGCAACCCCCCAAGTAGTATAGATGAACATTGGCTCCATCTGCAAGGTGCCATGCAAAGAGCTAGTGTAGCCGCTTGCGGCTTGAAAGAATGCTCCGCCAAAAACCACTGGGTTTCTGCGAGTTCCTTGCAACTCCTGGATGAACGCCGGTCCATTCCGGCTGGCAGCGAATACAGCAATAAGCGAAAGGCGCTGACGCGCAAGATAAGAAAGTGTTTACGTAAGGACCGCGAGGCCTGGTGGTCAGAACGTGCGGGTGAGATGGAGGCAGCTGCTGCATCTGGCAACAGTCGGAAGCTGTTCCAACTCATCCGAGCCACCGGCAGCAAGAAACAAGGTGTCAGCGAGACGGTCTGTGAGGCAGATGGCACGCCAATTACCAGTTTGAAAAGACGCCTGGAACGCTGGGCAGAGCACTTCGGGAAACAGTTTAGCTGGCCACCAGCTTCAATGTCTGCTGTCATTAGCCCCAGTGCTCCTTGGTCGGTTAATACCGACCCACCCACCGAAGCGGAGGTCCGTAAGGAACTCCAAGTGTTAAAACGCCATAAGGCGCCCGGCCCAGACAATTTACCCCCGGCTCTTTTTAAAGATGGTGGCGAGACTCTCACAATGGCTCTAACTGGGTTGTTCAGGAAGGTATGGGAAACTGAGAGTGTACCATCAATGTGGAACGAAGCCATTATCGTCCCTATCTTTAAAAAGGGTCGACGTAATTCGTGTGACAATCATAGGGGTATCAGTCTGCTACCAGTCGCGTCTAAATTATTGGCTTCTGTCTTGCTTCGCAGGCTGTGCAAAATACGTGAAGGATTGATTCGCGAAGAGCAGGCTGGGTTTCGTTCAGGTCGTGGATGCATTGATCATGTGTTCACCCTTCGTCAGTTGTTGGAACACCGCCACACGTATTGCAGGCCAACGATCGTTGTGTTTCTTGATATTAGGGCTGCCTTCGATTCGTTGGACAGAACTGTGCTCTGGAACTGTCTGTTAGAGAGAGGTGTACCTGAGAAATTTGTTAACATCTTGAAAGCCCTATACAGAAACACCTCAGGTAGAGTGAGGGCATACAACCAACTATCATCACTGTTCCCAACCAACAGTGGGGTTAGACAGGGTTGCCCAATCTCTCCATTTCTCTTTAACTTTGCCATCGATGACATTCTGGAGTCAGCTCTGAAGGATGTGCGTGAAGGTGGTGTAGATCTGCTACCTGGAGATAGACTTTTCGACCTCGAGTATGCAGACGATATCGTCTTACTGTGCGATAGCATGCAGGCTGCCCAAATCGCACTTAATCAGTTGGCGATCAGTGTCTGTAAGTATGGTATGTGCTTTGCACCGTCTAAGTGCAAAGTACTGTTACAAGATTGGCAGGAGCCTGTACCTGCACTCACTCTTGCGGGTGAACCGCTTGAAGTTGTTGATAAGTTTGTGTACCTGGGTAGTTGTGTGAGTGCTGGCGGAGGGGTGACGGATGAGATTTCCAACCGTATAATGAAGGCTAGGGTGGCATACATCAACTTGTGCCACCTCTGGCGCCGTCGCGATGTTAGCCTGGCTGTCAAAGGTCGGGTATACAATGCTTCGGTGCGGGCTGCCTTGCTCTACGCCTGTGAAACCTGGCCTCTCCGAGCTGAGGATGTGCGGCGACTCTGCGTGTTCGATCATCGCTGTCTCCGCAGGATTGCTTGCGTTCGATGGCATCATCGCGTGAGTAATTCTGAGGTTCGGCGGCGTGTGTTTGAACACAGTGGAGATCACCATTCATTGAGTGTCGTCATCTGGAAACACCAGCTCCGGTGGCTTGGACATGTGCTGCGAATGTCATCCCAGAGGCTTCCGTACAGGTCTCTGTTCGCTGGCCAGCCCTGGGACGGGATGGAAAAGGCGGAGGGGTGGTCAGTCCATGACGTGGCGTCGTGGGATGAAGGATATTTGTGCTAGATTAGCATCGGTTGGTGTGTCACGACTCCCTGGTTGGGGTCCGCGAGATAGCTCGAAACGTTATCGGATATGGCCAAGAATCGTAATCAATGGCGAACGTGTTGCAATTTCCTTCTTTCTTCCCTTCCTGATGATAGTTAACGAATACTGTTTGAACTTGTTAAACATGACTGTTTTCCTTCCTGATGAAGTTCTTTATCCGTTTTCTACCTATATTTTTACTTTTAATCTATGTTGTTTTATTATTACTGTGTGGCGCATCTTTCTTGGTGCCATATTGTACCAAGTTTTTCTGCGTTTAAATAAATAAATAAAAAAATAAATGTCCCCAATATTGGTGGTGAGAAAATGAGAACAAAGGCTTTGCGTAGGCGGATACAGTTAGCATATGGATTATCTGACACAGCCACAAAGAGATGCAAGGTTAACTTTCTGTGAGAAACAACCAATCAGAAGACTGTATTTTCTACTAACAATAATCTACATTAATGTACATTAAAATCTATAAATATGTGTTGATTTTTCTTAATAGAGGATCTGTTGCCTGGCCCTTGTCTTCTGTTGTTACCCTATAACTAACTGATTTCCCAAATATTTTTGATAAATACAATTAAGTAATCATAGTAAATCTTAGAATACTTAAGATTACCTTACCAGACAGTACCAACATTCGTAAAAATTATATTTGTAAAATCTCAGAGAAATTGAAATGAGTAATTCCAGCGTTTCCTGTGTTCGGCGAACTGGTGACCCAAACTTCTTCAGGGGAATTAATCGAAATTAACACAACAGACATTTCTTGTTTTTAAAAACTTTATCCAGTCATATGAGTCATGAAACAGGCATCAACACGTATAATAAACAAACAAAATTGTATGAGCTATGATTAAAATTTGACCTCAGACTTCTTACAAATATTAGTCTACTTCTGTTAAACACTTTAAACAGAGTGTACTTTTTATCAGATTACGTGAGACTAAAAGTTCATGGTCGCTGATAACTGAATACGAAAAATATATATGTGTATATGCGGTATACAATGATGTGTGTGTATATATGTATGGGTAAACCAGCTGTAAAACATTTGTTAGCCTCTCCAATTTCGCTGAGATTTTACAAATATATTTTTTATAAATGTCTACTTCTTACTACTTGGCTTCCAATTATTTTGGAACTATTCTGTCAAATCTTCACCACAGACAGTAACAACGCCTAGACTCGGAAAAACGACCATAAGGTCAATTAAAATAATATGACCCGTTGCACAAGAGGTGGCTCTCGTGGCCCAAGTGGTCTAGTGGATAACGCTTTGGTGTTTGAATCTATGGGCACTGGGTTCGAGTCTCGGTGGGAACATCGTCGCTCACTGGGGAATGCAGGTACATCCAGATGACGAGTCCCAAATAGGACGAAATGCACATCCTGACTGGATTCCACTGCTAGTCATCATCCACAAATTAAGGTCAAACATTAGGTTAGCGAGAAGATCAATATCAATCATAAATGGACACAACTACCTACGGAAAAAACCAGTCACGGTGAAGGCCATCAGAAGAGATAAATATTTCAACTACGGAAAATTCCCAAAGATAGGTCCAAAAATACAACAGAGAAAGTAGAATTTCAGTACACCTTAACGTGAAACCGTGCGACAATGACTCAACGATACAGTGCTCGCCAATCATGCAAGCTATCCGGATTCCAATTCCGGACGCTGACGTACGCCACTAAACCTCGGATACTTTACCAGAAAACAGTAAAACTGTGAAAAAGATGGTTGGGTTTGAGGCTAACAGATCCCTATCCCCTGGAACAAAAGGAACAAGACTACAATTACTGGAAATTTCAGAAAAGCTTGACAAAAACTAATCGAATACTACCCACTTTATGAAATCAATCTTTAGGGAAAAATAATTGCTATACAAGGAAGATGATATGTAAGTCTATCGTATTACAAACATTCTGAGATTGTACCCTCTTGTGTTCTTACCAATATCCAATATATTTGGCTTTCATTAGATACTGCAATTGAAGGTTATCTCTTTTGTTTATTTTCTCATAAGTGTAAACATCACTTAAGCTATGTGATAATCGTTCATTTTTGTTTTCCCCTTCACCATTCTTTATATCAAGAGAACGTTAGATTCAATACTCTATGACACGCTAAAATTTCCATGCTGTATTGACAAAGTTGTTTGAAACAGACCCACTGTTATTATTACTATTCGAGTTATTATTCTCATTTTGTACTTTGCACATTTTTGACTTTATTTCCTATCGTAAATGTGGACAAATTCCTGTGATTCATTTTATTTATATTTTGGGTAAATTAGATGCAATATCGTAACAAATGCTGAGAATTCCATTCTGTATTATAAGTACTGTTTTTCGAATAAAGCAGATTGTTATTACTATTATTATCATTATTATTATTAGATAATTGAGGGAAACCACCTCCTTCATATATCTTCAGCGCCTGGTTTACTAGTTTTCTAGCCAGTCCTAAGTCCGGGAAAAGAGCGAGGGTTGGGGCGTGGGGCTATCGATTATATCCCGGCTACAGAAACTTCAAAGCACGACAAATGTAAAAAAACATTTGCTCGATACGCAAGATCAAATGGCCTATCAGAAATGATTAACTCCAAGGAAATCTGACAGCTAATGAAACAGACAATAATCAATTCAGTAAATCTCCACAAATCTGCAGAAGGGAATGGAGACAGATTGAATATCCGTTGAAGGGACCAACAAGTGAGTTGCCACACACCAGGCACTATAAGAGGACAGTGAAGTGATGGGTTGAGGTGACAGGAGTGGGGCATGGTGCAAAGTGTGACATGGAGAAGAAATGAAAGGCGCCGCAGAGAACAGACTGCAACGGAGATGTGCTGTTGAAGCCCTATGTCTAGATAACTAACTGACTTCTAGCTAACTTAGTATCCTATGGGCAAAAGGGAAAAAAAGCATATTTATGATCTCTCTTCTTTACTGTAAAAAAGAAAAAAACAACTAACTTACTTGACGGAAAAATCGTTGAAGTAGTTCAGGTGACAGACGTTTTTTCATTTCATTGGCTGAACTATTACTTTGTCCATCACCGATATTACCACTACTATTATTATTATTAGTAGTAGTAGTAATTAAATCTTGTATATTTGGTATCACTGTCGACAGATTCGCTGTATGATCTTGTATTAAATCATTGAAGGTTTCATTGACTACCTGAGTTATACCACTGGTCAGTTGACGTCGTAATGGTCGAATATTAGGCAGCGCCTTGCTATTCGGTCCATAATGTATAAGAATCATAGCTATAAAATGTAAGCATAATGAGACATGACGCATTAAATTGATGGCTTCTTTATCCGCTGCTGTATACGACCATGGATGTCTATGATGCCAGTGATAGAAGGAATAGTCCATACCTCTGGATATATATATATAGAGAGAGAGAGAGAGAAAGAAAAAAGAAACAAACAAAAGAAAACAACACAATAAGGCATAGGAAGTGAATTGATGATTATATGTGTTCTTTAAGAATAAAAGTATGTTCAAATAACCTTGAACTATTATACATCCTTTGTTAGACAATGTCTTTTCTCTCTCCATATATACATGCACGTGATAAGTTTTTTACAGAAACGAAAGCGAAATATTCGCTATTATGAAATTATACTTCTGTTTTCTTGTACACAGTCCAATTTTCTTTTTATGTAACGAGTGTTTTCAAGTATGATCACTAACTGAACACCAGAGAGTATTGGACAGCTTTTTAGTCCTTGTTTGCGCACTTCAACAGCACTTACCTATGATGCCAACCGGTTACAACATAGAATTCTGCATAGATGTGCAGCAGATTGATTTGCCACACTCCCTCCATGTACCACACAAAACAACAGCAGAGAGTAAAGACAGATTCATCGAAACAGAGATAATAAACACAAATTTGAGTGACGCAGAAACAATAGTAAGGCAAAGTTAAACTTTAAGCACGACTAACTACCACCACCAATCAGCCAATGACCTCGAACATAACAATCACGTGAAGGAGGCAGTTTTGTGTATGGAGTACATATATATTTATGAAAAAATGCATAAAAGCTGTCGAAAAGTGTTACAGAGGATAGCTTCCCCTCACATGCGATAAAAATAGATCTCAGTTTTAGGTCGGAGTATCAACAGAGTATAATCCCATTATAGGTAAAATTTACTTTGATAAAGTCTCACAGTGTAATACAGTAATATTGACTGAGCAATAAACTGTGCTCGAAACGTAATCATCAGTAAGTATTACTGTATAACAATGGGAGACTCTATCAAAATAAATGTTACCTATAATGGGATTATACTCTACCTCCACAGTGCACAAGTTCTATTCTTATATCAACAGAGTAATTTAACCATATTCTAATGCATGTAATTATGTAGGTTTTCTAACATTAACAATAACGCTGATCTTTCCTGAACCTAACCCTAAAGTGGAAATATCCTTAAAATAACTGTAATTCAACTCGAACCAACCCTAATGCCACCTCTCTTAGGTTAACCTAACCATAACTTGTCCTTGGCTTAAAGCATAACTTAATCTTTCCCAGACATAAGCTGAAACTTGCCAAATATTCCATTGAATAACAGAACACTTCGATGAGCATATTTTATTGATGATGACAACATTATTTGCCAGGTTTCACTAATTTGTTCAGTGGGCGTTTCAAAGTCATTGGTGCGGTCGAACTCCATTGGTAGTTAGTGGTGCTCAAAGTTTAACTTGGCTAATAGTAATATGGAAAAACAATAGAGTTTCATTGGATATGACTGGCAAATCACAAAGAGTGAAGGCATCTGCGCCAGCCGTCACTAAGAACGATTTCAAGACATATCACCAATTGTCTCCGGCCTTCATTGCCTCTTACCATCCAGAGGACCCCAACCAGTCAGTCAGGCAGTCTACATCTTCCCACGTGGCTGGCTGGCCAGCTTAAACTAGCTGTTAGGGATTTCATTGACTGATGAAGCCATATTTTCGTTTGACCATCACTACTAGATAACTCTTTTCCAACCTGATCCATCCTACGTCAGTCAGTTAACATTGCCCATCGTCGAGGAAGTCGACCTATGGCTAGAGATGTATGCCTAAAACATGTCGTAACGATCTCTCTCAATCGATGTAACTTCACAAACTCGTCGAGTGACTAACTGTCCTTGCTTACCGAACACTTGACCGAAGTCTAACCTTAATATTACTCACCCTATTACGCCACATAACACGGGACATAGAACTCAGACACCTATGATCAAAGACACCTAGCCAGGCTTTTTATATCTTCCACTTTTAACGGTCATGTCTCACAGCTAGCCATAAAGGAGGACGGAGCGAACTGCTGAACAGTATACACTTCGACTTTCGGATATAACGGCTACTGAGCTGGAGGTGCCGTAAGCTGACAAATTCCAAACGAGCCTTCTGTGTCCATGCTAAGATTTTGTCGGCGAACCACTCGCTGAGGCTCATGCAACTTTCCCCCAAATAAGTGAGGTGGTCAACACGCTCTACCTCTTCACTCCTGGATTATCTTTAAGCTAGGATTCGATGTAGTCCAGTCCTGTAGCATCATCTTAAGTATTTTGATAGGGGCGAATCATATGCTCTCATCCACAAGGGATCAAACCCCGGACCTCGTTAATCATTCAGCCATTAGCATGTAATCCAATGGCTGGCACATGAATTCTAAGTTCCACCAATACCCGATATACATAATGCGACAGCCAGCCAACGACATCGGGCGAATATCTGTTCTCTCACTCTCTTGGTGAAACCCACTGATCACACAACTTTCCACTAGAACTTCAGGCAAGCTTATCCTTACACAGTCAGTCTATAGTGAGCAACTGTCTTAATTTTTAAGGATTTATTAGCAGGGATTTGGTTGATTTCAAGAAAAAACAACCACCTACTTCAGTTTACAAAATAACACAACAGTATCAAACAAGCGTCACTTAAACATAAAAACAGTATCGCCTCAAGTGTTTGTGCTGAAAACTATACAACACTCGACAAACGAATGAGTGCACCAATGACCCTAAGTCAACCGATTAATCGCATTAAAGGTTGAGGAAAGGCTAACTGAGTTACGTGTTAACAATCACAGTGCTTCTTCAGGATTTAGGAAAAAGTAAGATTCTTAATCCTAATTATAAAATGAATATAATCCATCCTAATCCTAGCCTCTTTTTGCTAAGCTAATTATAATCTAAGTTCTATAAGGATAACACACTTGGGCACTGTGGTAGTGGAGTATAACTCCATTATGGATAAGACTTTATTTTGATAAAGTCTCACACAGTGTTGTTATACAGTAATATTTACTGATGACAATGTTTCGAGAACAATTTATTACTACTGGTCATAATCATATCAAGGTACTCACTCACACAACTTTTATATAAATGAAGCGAGAAAGTTGTGTGAGTGAGTAATGCCTTGATATGGTTATGAGCAATAATTTGTGCTCGAAACCTTGTCATCAGTAAATATTACTGTATAACAACACTGTATAACTTTATTAAAGCAATTGTTATTATTAATGTTCCCTTTAGTTCCTAGAGGAACATAGGGCTTCAGCCTCACGTCTCCATTGCGCGTTCGGTTCTCTGCTACCGTTTTCACCTGGCTCCACGTCTGCCCACATGCTTTTAGCGCCTCTTTACATGACCTCCTCCATGTCGCCCTCGCACTGACGACCTACTCGCCGCTTCCCATTTGGGTTCCACTCAAGGACCTGTCTTATCAAAGCAAATTTTATCCATGATGGAATTATACTCCACCACCACAATGCCAAAGTTTCATTCTTATATCAGGAAGTTTATAAATCAGAAAGTTTAAAACCATGGTACAAAAGAGATTGACTAACTTTCCGTGCTCATGGACATGAGCCAGTGGTTATTACCTCCCACCATGGAAGTGTTGCATGACCACAGAGCTCAGGGGGCAACTGCTTTCAGGCCGATAACATATGACTTGTTTGAATTGGTTATGTCAGTATTAAGGTCGAACCACTGCAAGTTAAGTCGGAGGGTAGAATTTTCGAGGCCGGCCTTTTCTGACCCCTCTCTCTATCTACCCAAGGCGGAAAAGCGGCGTTACTGGATTGCTCATCATCTGAAGGAAACGCCTTACTGCCGTTACATCTCTATTCGCCGGTGGTACGACTTCACCCACAGACTTCCCAAACACAGTGTAAACGAATTACAACTATAACAGTAACTGCTTTTAGTCTAATTGCTATTCAAACGGCTGTACTAGCATGACAGGGCCTGCAGAAACATCTGTTGAGTCAGTGTGATATGAGAATAAACAAATCCTTTCTGTACACAGAGATCAGGGTGCCACCGATGACATTAGATTCCTTCAAGTTTAGTCCATGCATACAAATACACACAAACCATTTATAAGTGAATTAGATTTCGATAGTTACGCCGTCTCTGGCGTAGACGTGATATCCGACTATCGACCAAAGGGCGTGTGTACTGCTCAGCAGTCCGCTCCGTCCTCATTTATGGCTGTGAGTCCTGGCCATTGAGAGCGGAAGACATGAAAAGATTAGCTATCTTCGACCATAGGTAACTGCGTTCTACCTCCCGCGTGAAGCGGTGAGCAATATTGAGGTTAGGCGTCGAGTGTTAGGTAAGTCAAGAAAGGGAAATCAATTGACGAGGCTGTGAAGCAACATCGACGGAGATGGTTAGGACATGTGTTACGTATGCCTAGTCATCGCCTTCCTCGACAATGGGCAATGTTAGCTGACATAGGGTCAGGCTGGAAAAGAGCTAGCGGCAGTCAAACGAAAACATGGCACCAGTCAATGAAATCCACAACAGTTAGTCTAGGCCACATAGGAAGGTGTAGACTTACTGGTTGGGGTCCTCGGGACGGTAAAAACCAATGGTTGGAAACAATTGGTGACATGGCTCAAAATCGTTCTCAATGGCTGGCGCAGATGCATCCACTCCTCGTGACTGATGATTTCCAATTAAACTGTTTTGTTCTCCGTTATTACTATTCCTTTGTCTCACACCTCTGTTTACTGTCTATATTATGCATTTCTTCTTTTGCTTTGTGTGCTACATGGAGTGAGGCGACTTGAACTGCCGCACATATGTGCGAAGTTCTATGTCGAAAGCCGACCGACCGAGATTTCGATAGTAGGACAATGTTAAAGATCACAGAGAGCATTCATAACGCTATAAGACTACATACAGTAGCAACAATACAAAATACAACAAGACTTACCTTTCTATATTGTCTATCGCCAATTCTAAGCAATCCACTATAAGTGTTGGATTCAAATCGATAGCCGGTAGACCAATACAACTATTTGTTAGAACAAAATGAAACAGCTCTGCAAAACTAACAAAAGCAGCTTGTGAAACATGACACAACGGTTCAAGAAATGTACGTTGTAATTCTAAAGCATAACGCCATAGACTTAAACATTGATGGAAGTTGTCAGCATCAGCGTAGATTGCACCACGATAGCTAAGTGTTTTCAGAAGGGAGAAAAACAGACAAAAACAAACAAAGAAATAAGTAAAGAAATTCAGAATATGGTATAACACACACACACTAGCGGATGTTATGACTTATTTGTTTGATCTACTTAACACAACCTCTCCTAGTGAGTAGCGCGATCGAATTCCCTTCCAACTGTCAAGATTCGATCACAGTCTGGTGGGCAATCAAATTCCACAGTCCAGTAGGTCTCTGGTTTGAGTCCTGATCCAGCTACCTACCTGTATACCTCAGTCTAAGCAACTTGGTTAATATGAGACGTTATTGGCTGTAAATGCATCTGTGACGTGTACTACTGATAAGAGTTTTTAAGTAGTAGGGGGCGACATCTGCCAAAATCTTTAATACCACAGAGAGAGAGATAGATGAATTGAGCATATGTAAGTAAAATTACACATTTTTTTACGAGTTTGACTATGAATTGATATCAGTTAGAGAGCCATTGAAAAACAGTGCGCGTCCACTGGGGTTCGAACCCGGGACCTTTCGGTTACCAGACGAGCTGATATCAATCTGTGGTTATACTCATAAAAACAAATCTAATCCTTACAAACCAACTATAGAAAATTAATCTGATGCTCGCTAGTGACTTGCTACAGGACGGAGTTTCCTGGAGTTCTAGTGCGAGGTCGTGACCAGTGAAGTGTGAGGATGGATTTCCCACCGATGAAATTGGTTGGTGGTCGCGCTAAATCACGAACTGGTAGAAGTTAGAATTCATGGGTCATTGAATTGGGTCTCAGTGACTGAATAGTATACATGCCATAGATCTACACGCCATAGAACCAGATCACAAAATTTGTTTTAATAATGTTGAGATAATCCAGAAAAATTTCATACATCACAAAGAAACTCTAATATCAGAGGCACTTTATATCAAATGGAATCCAAATTGTCTGAATAGGAATTTGACCTGGTTGCAACACCCCCTTCTCTCCCCCATGAAATGACAGAATCAACACGACTGTGACCAATAATTTCATTGTGTAAACCCATACTGTTTTTATAATTTCATACACTTATCAAATCCTACAACCTACACTTGGTTTTGTCATCTTAACCAATTGGCCAACTTGACAGCATAAAAATGACCCCATGCTGAAGAACGATGATTAAGTTGTTATATATGTGCTGAGATTTTGTAAATTCTGGTTTAATAATACTACTTTGATAAACCTATTAGCAGCATTAAATAGGGAAACGTCAGTAAAAACAATAATCATGGGCCACTGAATCGGGTCCCAGTGGCTGAATGGTATACGAGCTTGCCTTCTAACCGGGAGGTCCTTGGTTCGAACCCCAGTGGTGAGTGCGTACTGCCGACGAGCCCCAAACTGGGATGAAACAGCTGTCCAGTACTCCCTGCTGGTTTTTAACAGCTCTCTTACTGATATCAATCTTTGGTCAAAGTAGCAAAAAAATCTAATCCTTACACACCAACTCTTGAAAATTATATTTGTAAAAATCTCAGTGAAATTGAAATAAATAATTCCAAGTTTTTGTTGGGCAAATCAGTTCGAACTTTTCCAGGGAAAGGTATGTACATCTGGTCTTAAAAGTTCTTGTTCAATTATAAAAGGTTATCAAAAACAAAATAAATACGATTGTATGAACTGTGATCAAAATTTGACTGGGTAGTTAAACTGTAAACAGCGTGTACTTTCTTTCATCAGACTTTTTAGTGACAATGTTCGAATAATGGTCATGGTCCTGAGAATACGAATTAGAAAACATATATATTTCATATGGAATAATGTGTGTATGTGAATAGGCAATTGTACATCAGTTGTTAGCATTTCGGCAAGAAGATATGTATGTATAATTGGGATAGTAGATTAGGCATGAGAATTACTCATACATAACACCACTTTATTTATTCGTCAAGACTTGTCATGCATTAGCTAGCATCGCACTGTCACGTCTAAAACTAGAACTTTTGGAATTCACTTAAACATGTAGCGCTCCTAAAGTTAGTCTTTTTAAATATAAAGCAAAACCTTTTTGTAGAACCTTGATCCTATCAGACTTGATCCGTGTGTCCTGTTTCTGTCGGTCGGTCGGTTTTCGACATAGAACTTTGCACCGATGTGCGGCAGTTCAAGTCGCCACAATCCATGTAGCACGCAAAGCAAGAGAAGAAATGCATAATATAGACAGTAAACAGAGGTGTGAGACAAAGGAGTAGTAATAACGAAGAATAATATAGTTTCATTGGAAATCATAAGTCACAAGGAGTGGATGCATCTGCGCCAGCCACTGAGAACGATTTTGAGCCATATCACAAACTGTTTCCAACCATTGGTTTTTACCGTCCCGAGGACCCCAACCAGGAAGTCTACACCTTCCTATGTGGCCTAGACTAACTGTGGTGGATTTCATTGACTGGTGCCATGTTTTCGTTTGACAACCGCTAGCTCTTTTCCAGCCTGGCCCTATATCAGCTAACATTGCCCATTGTCGAGGAAGGCGATGACTAGGCATACGTAACACATGTCCTAACCATCTCAGTCGATGTAATTTCACAGCCTCGTCGATTGATTTCCCCACCTTACCTAGCACTCGGCGCCTAACCTCAATATTGCTCACCTTATTATACCACTTCACACCGGAGATAGAACGCAGTCACCTATGATCGAAGACAGCTAATCTTTTCATGTCTTACGCTCTCAATGGCCAGGTCTCACAGCCATAAAGGAGGACGGAGCGGACTGTTGAGCAGTACACACGCCCTTTGGTCGATAGTCGGATATCGCGTCTTCGCCAGAGACGGCGAAAACTGGCATATGCGAACCTAGCCCTCTGTATTCGTGCTGAGATTTCGTCTGAGATCAACCCGTTGGGGCTGATGGTACTTCCCAAATAAGTGAAGCGGTCAACGTGTTCTACCACTTCACTTCCTATTTCTAATCTAGGGGTCGATGAAGTCCAATCCTGCAGCATCATCTTACATTTTACAGGGGCGAATCGCATGCCAAACATACGAAGATTGTTGCTCAGGGTGTTCAGTAGACTCTGCATTCTGTCAGAGTCCTCGCCTAGAAGGACTATATCGTCTGCATATTCTAAGTCAATGAGATTATTCCCTGGTAGCAAGTCAATCCCTGAGTCGCTGAAGTGTGTTAGGGTTAAGTCCATTAGTACGTCTATGATGAAGTTGAAAGCTGCTACCTTGACGTGGTGGTCGGGCTTGAACACTGCAATGACCCAACAAGCTATGCTGGCTGGAACTTATGTTCCTGCAGGTCCTACCATGCCAGAAAGGTTGTTTGGATAGCAGTTAGACTAAAAGCAGTTACCCAATCCAATCCTATGATTTCAAATAAATCACAAAATATCATGCCGGATCGGTCGGGGCCCGGATTAACAACGACCGCGCTTTCTGCTGCCGTGTCACAGGGCAGAAGTGATAAATACGCTACTGAGACACACCAAATAAAAGAGAACAAACAAAAACAGGCCGCATGTGACCGGCCTCAAGCAGTTGTCTCTTGGGCTCTGCGGTCACGCAACCAACTTCCACGGTGTGGGCAGCCGGGAAGTAACAACCGCCCTCACAATCCGAAGTGCACGCAAAACCCCTCTAATCCTCGCTCATCCTTGTCTTCATCTTCATCTCTATTATCTTGCCTTCCTTCTACCAATGCAACTCCTGTACTTGTTGGCTCTTCACCTCCTCTTCACTCTGTGTGCACTGATAACGATGGAAGCCAAAAAGCCACCACCGATGGTCTCCTAAAACCACGCCACCAATTTTATATAGGAGCATTTAATGTTAGGACACTTTGCCAAATAGGACAACAAGCATCACTAGCCAAGACTCTGGCATCCCGAGCCATTGATGTATGTTGTGTTTCAGAAACACGCATACAAGACCTAAGTGTGGTTATTCACCTAACCCCACCTGGCCAACAGGATGAATCTGCAAAATTCACCTTGAGGGTGTCAGGAGATGCGACGGCTAGCTCACGAGGATTAGCTGGTGTCGGGATAGCTTTAAGTACTAGAGCAGAAAAGACATTACTTGACTGGATCCCGGTAGATAGCCGAATGTGTGCTGTCCGCCTGAACGGATCAGTGAAAAGGAGAAAGGACTGCACTACTCGCCGATGCCTTTTCGTAATCTCCGCCTACGCCCCCACTGACTGCAGTTCGGATGAAACGAAGGATGAGTTCTACCAAAAGCTGTCTAGTTTGCTGCGAAAGGCTAAACGCTCAGATATAGTCGTTTTAGCTGGTGACTTTAATGCTCAAGTAGGGGAATTGTGTCAATCTGAGAAGAATGTCGGTGGCACATACGGAATTCCGTGCCAGCGAACCGACAACGGTGACCGTCTCCTACAGTTCTGTTCAGATAATCATTTGTATCTTGTAAGCACTAACTTCAAACACAAGGAGAGACACTGTTTGACCTGGCGACCCCCATCATCAAATCAACGCTGGACACAAATAGACCACATAGCAATAAGCTATCGTTGGCGTGGGTCGGTAGGAGATTGTCGCTCCTTCTGGAACACGTGTGTAGATACCGATCACGCACTGGTCCGCGCTCGTGTGTGCTTACGACTGAACGGACGTAGGAAACAGCTGGCGGTAAACCCATCACGTCCCCAGCTCCATCAGGAAACTAAGTCCCTATTTGAGGAAGAACTAGCTAAACACATATCTGAGTTCGACAGCTGCGCTCACCCTGAAGAAGCCTGGAAGAATATTTAATCAGCCATAGACACAGCTGTAAAGGCTGTGAACAAGGTAAATCCAAAGGTGAGTAAAAACCATTGGATTTCGACTGCCTCATCCGAACTGATAGATGCTAGAAGACTTATTCCGGCGAGCTCCGAATTCAATGAGGAGCGAAAGCTGCACAAAAAGAAACTTACGAAAAGTCTCCGCAAGGACCGTGAACAGTGGTGGTTGACAAAGGCGAAAGAGATGGAAAAAGCATCGGCGATAGGCAACACCAGACAATTATTCAGGCTTATCAGGGAAACAGGTGGTAAAAGGCAAATGATAAGCAAAACAATCTCTGAGAAAAATGGCACCATAATTAGCTCCCAGGATAGACGTCTGGAGCGCTGGAAAGAACACTATGAGGAGCAGTTTAATTGGCCCACAGCCACACTTAACCTGCCGGACATCCAACACCTCCCTGAATGGGAGATAGACACAGGTCCTCCGTCCTTAACTGAGGTTACTAAAGCTGCCACTAATCTGAAGCAAGGCAAAGCAGCGGGACCTGATGGATTGACTCCAGAGGTATTTAAGTACGGAGGAGACAGTTTACTGTCTGCGTTAACGGAGGTTCTAGGCAGCGTCTGGGAATCAGAGGAAGTCCCGTCGGGTTGGTGTAAGTCACTGATCATCCCGATATACAAGAAGGGAGACAAGTCTTCTTGTGATAATCACAGAGGGATTAGCTTGACTAATATAGTATCTAAAATTCTAGGCTCAATAATACTGCGTAGACTAAGTGGTGCTCGGGAGACACAAACACCAGAAAACCAGGCAGGTTTTAGGCCAGGTAGAGGGTGTATTGATCATATCTTCACCCTTCGACAGATTCTAGAACATAGGCATTCCTACCGGCGTCCGACAATCATTATATTTCTTGACCTAAAGGCGGCATTCGATTCTGTCGACCGGGAGGTTCTCTGGCGATGCCTGGCTGTAAAGGGAATGCCAAGAAAATACATTGCACTGATTAAGGCACTCTACTCGTACTCATGCAGCCAGGTGAGGGCTTATGGCGGGTTGTCATCTGAACTGGTGACGACTAGTGGCGTCCGTCAAGGATGCCCATTATCCCCATTCCTACTCAACTTCATCATAGACGTACTAATGGACTTAATCCTAACACACTTCAGTGACTCAGGGATTAACTTGCTACCAGGGAATAATCTCATTGACTTAGAATATGCGGACGATATAGTCCTTCTAGGCGAGGACTCTGACAGAATGCAGAGTCTACTGAACACCCTGAGCAACAATCTTCGTATGTTTGGCATGCGATTCGCCCCTGTAAAATGTAAGATGATGCTGCAGGATTGGACTTCATCGACCCCTAGATTAGAAATAGGAAGTGAAGTGGTAGAACACGTTGACCGCTTCAATTACTTGGGAAGTACCATCAGCCCCAACGGGTTGATCTCAGACGAAATCTCAGCACGAATACAGAGGGCTAGGTTCGCATTCGCCAGTTTTCGCCGTCTCTGGCATAGACGCGATATCCGACTATCGACCAAAGGGCGTGTGTACTGCTCAACAGTCCGCTCCATCCTCCTTTATGGCTGTGAGACCTGGCCAATGAGAGCGTAAGACATGAAAAGATTAGCTGCCTTCGACCATAGGTGACTGCGTTCTGTCTCCCGTGTCAAATGGTTTAACAAGGTGAGCAATATTGAGGTTAGGCGTCGAGTGCTAGGTAAGGAGGGGAAATCAATCGACGAGACTGTGAAATTACATCGACTGAGATGGTTAGGACATGTGTTACGTATCCCTGGTCACCGCCTTCCTCGACGGGCAATGTTAGGTGACATAGGGTCAGACTGGAAAAGAGCTAGCGGCGGTCAAACCAAAACATGGCACCAGTCAATGAAATACACAACAGTTAGTCTAAGCCACGTAGGAAGATGTAGACTTCCTGGTTGGGGTCCTCGGGACGGTAAACACCAACGACGACTGGAAACAATTGGTGACATGGCTCAAAATCGTTCTCAGTGGCACAGATGCATCCACTCCTTGTGACTTATGATTTCCAATTAAACTGTTTTGTTCTCCGTTATTACTATTCCTTTGTCACACACCTCTGTTTACTGTCTATATTATGCATTTCTTCTACTTCCTTCTCTTCCTTTGTGTGCTACAAGAAGGGAGTGTGGCGACTTGAACTGCCGCACATCAGTGCGAAGTTCTATGTCGAAAACCGACCGACCGACCGACCGATCAATACGAATTAGAAATTTGACGAACCACAAAAAGGATTTCCAACAGCCTGTTCCAGACTTTTATCAACAGCTGCCTTCGCTGGCTCCATACTGAAGATCAAATGGCCAGCCAGAAAGAATTAGCAACAAGAACCAATCGTACGACAAATATGTAGGGGAAAATGGAGATGGATTGGGCATACGTTGAGGAGGCCGTCCAATGACATCTCGCCAAGGCCATTAGTCAAGTGGAACCCGAATGGGAAGCGATGCATGGGTCGTCAGTGCGACGGTGACATGGAGGAGATCGTGCCAGGAGGAGGTGAGAGATTATGACCAATCGTGGACGCAGCTGAAGAAGGCGGCAGGAAATAAAGCAAAATAGAGATGTGTTGTTGAAGCCCGATGTTCCACTCGGAACCCACGGGAATTATTATTATTACTGGACACCACTGCATTCGGAGCACCGGGTTCCACAGAGTTCATGTATAGGATGCCAACCATTATGTGATTTAGAAATTATGTTGAATAACATATCCTCCTACAGTGTTTCCCTTACTGTCCACTAAATTTTTCAGCATAATACACTCCATACAGTTTGGTGTTTAACATACTTTATTTCATTCAGTTAATGAAAACACCTTGCTAAAGAAGAAGGAAGTCACATCATTTCGACCAAATCATATCAGTTTATGAGTTTCTACTGACAAATCAATAATGAATAAGGATAGAGCATGTTGATAACTTCACTTATTTCAGATGTTACATCAGCTCCAATCGACTGATTACAGACAATATGTCAGCACGGATATAAAAGCTTCGTATGACATTTGCCCTCTTAAATCATCTGTGGCGTACATGTGACATTCGGTTATCGATCAAGGGACGTGTGACCTGCGCATCAGTTCGTTCTGTCTTCCTTTATGGCTGTGAGAGCTGGCCATTGAGAGTGGAAGACATGAAAAACCAGTGTAGCTAGCTGTCTTTGATCATAGGTGCCTGCGTTCTATCTCCCGTGTGAAATGGTATAATAGGGTGAGCAATATTGAGGTAAGGCGTCGAGTGCTAAGTAGGTGGGAGGGGAAATCAATCGACGAGGCTGTGAGGTTACATCGACTGAGATGGTTAGGACATGTGTTACGCATACCTAGCCATCCATCACCTTCCTCGACAACACGCAATGTTAACCGACATAGGATCAAGTTGGAAAAGAGCTAGTGGTGGTAGTCAAACCAAAACATGGCTTCATCAGTCAATGAAATGCAAAACAGTTAGTTTAAGCGATGTAGGAAGGTGTAGACTTCCTGGTTGGGGTCCTCAGGTCTTCAAGACGGTAAAAATCAATGGCTGGCACAGATGCGTCCACTCCTTGTGACTTATAATACCCAATAAAACTATATTGTTCTTCGATATTACTATTCATTTTGCCTCATATCTCTGTTTACTGTCTCTATTTTGCATTTCGTTTTACTTTCTTCTCTTGTTTTGTCTGCTGAGTGATGTGTGGCGACTCGAACTGCTGCACACAGGTGCAAAGTTCCATGTCGAAACCAGACAGACAGACAGACATGGCAACTTCAAGTGGTACACTTCTCTGAAAATCTTCTCTACTGACACTGACTGAGTCAGTCAGTCGGTCAATAATCAGTGAGTTATAGATGACAATCAATAAATCACAGAAATGAAAATAATTCAAAAAAAGAAAAAAGAAAGATTATCTTACCGAATGAAATAAATAGTATCTGGATGATCTGGACCTAATATACGTAAACGTATTAACAAGGATTGTAATCGTAGTACATGCGTGTTCGACATTAGACTAGCTAATTCTTCATGTGTTCGAAATTCGCATACATGTCCAAAAGCCTCTTCACCGCATTGTTTCAATCGACGTATCAATGGATGATCTTCTGTTGCCAAATGACATTGTGGACAAATATACATAGAACTATCTTCTGCCTGTTAGACGATTGATTGGATGGGTTGTTTTTGTTTTTACATTGAAAAAAGAAGAAGAAGCGAGAACACCGGTGAAAAATGAGTACAAGTCAACGTAGAGGTTATGTAAATATAAGAATACATGATTATACCATTGTGGTGAGAGCTGTCTACTAGCCAAATTGGTAGACAGTAATTGACGTCAATGTTTACGTTCTCAAGATTTGTCGTGAGAAAATATGAACAAAGACTGATTCAAAACCGACCACAGCAGACTTTGCGTAGGCGGATACAATTAACATATAGATGATGTGACATTCAAGAAACAGTCACAAAGAGATGAAAGATTAACTTTAAGTGAGAAACAACCAATCAGAAGACTGTGTTTGTTTGCTTAACTAATGTATAATAATGTACATGAAAATATATAAATATGCTTTGATTTCCTTAATAAACGATCTGTTGTCTGGCCCTTGTCTTCTGTTGTTACACCATCAGTGTCCACATACACACCTATGACAGACTGAAATAGATCCTGTTAATTTCGTCGGTTCTCGTCAGCTGCTTACAACTTATAATATGTAATAAAACCGACTATAACACAATATTAACACAAACTTTGTTTATCATCGTGAATCAGTCCCCCAGTAAGGATTGTCGTAAGAAGATTCATTGTGTAGCAAAATATAAAGATGATAAGGTTATCTCAGAGTAGTAGTATATAACACATGCAGATATTTTCAAGAGTTGGTTTGTAAGGATTTGATTTGATTTTATGAGTTTGACCACGGATTGATATCACAATTAGAGAACCATTGAAAACCAGGTAGGAGTAGTGGATAGTTGTTTCGTCCTAGTTTGGCAATCCTCAGCACTATGCACCCACTGGGGTTCATGGGTCATTGAATCCGGTCTCAGTGGCTGAATGCCTTGTAGCCGGAAGGTCCTGGGTTCGAACTTTGGAGGTGGGTGCGTAATGCCGATGATTCACAAACTGGGGATGAACGAAACAGCTGTCCAGTACTCCCTGTGGCTGGTTTTCAATGGTTCTCTAACTGATATCTATCCGTGGTCAAATTCGTAATATACATATATATTATACGAGTGAAGTTTTCCATGAGAAAAGGACAGTTCTTTCTGTTAGGGCAGTGTGACAAGTCAGTGATGATTGCATAATTAGAGATACTAAAATAAAGTGAGAAGAACTTAGAAAGATTCATTGGTTGGAGGATTTCACCATTAGAAAACCAACCAGGAAAACTGCCAAACAGCTGGCTGTTTCGTCAGCCTAGTTTGGGACTCTTTATCGGTACGCATCCACACCACCGCCAGGGTTTGAACCCAGGACCTTCTGGTGACAAGACTAGCAAGCTAGCTCGTAGACCATCAAGCCACTGGGACCTGATCCAATGGCTAGCCCATGAATTCAAACATCTGCCAATTCATGACACATAGCACGACCACTTACTTCGCAATGTCTTCTTCGATAAGTTACTGAATAATCAAAATTTCGTGTGTACGAAGTCTAATCAAAAGGTGATAATGCTGTAATACAGTGAGTAGAATTCCACGGATCAACAATTATATCTAATATGAAAGTCACGCGGGAAATCGGTGGTGAGGAGGTGGTTTGAAACAAAATGATGAAATCAGAAGACAAAGAATTACTAAGAAGATAGTTACCAGGGTAACTGAAGTCCCATGACGAATTTGTTTTGAACCCATAGGCCAGGTTTTCGTCATTTTTTTGAGAAGTCAAGCAAAGATGTTCGTAGAGAATGTAATTAAAGTCAGCGACAAAACTAAATTTCATTCAACTTGACTTCAAAGGTGATTGATATTATAAGAATGATAAATAAACGTTTAAGTACATCACTGGCCAGGACGTATGGCAGTAGTAAAACTAGTCTCTCTACTCCGAACATCCTACTCGTTGGAACAGTCGGAAATCGACAACCACCCCTCATAGGTTATATCAAACCGTGAATATCAATTCACATATAAATGGGGGAGGGGCAGTTACATTGGAAGAACAGAAAGTAGGGCGACCCATATCAAATTCTTTGAACATGTACCAAAAAGCCTTTGACTGAAGGGACCGAATAGTTTGAACCTTGTCAATTACCAAACACCTTATAGACATAGGACACCAAGTGAATGTACTGAGAGCATTCTAGAAGAGAAATCAAAAGACAAAATAGCCAAAGTCTCTTTCTTTGGTTTCCTGAAGATATTACAATGAATCAACTAAAACCTGACCTATGTGTTCAAAATGAATCCGTCGGTGGACTTCAATACGATTCCAGTAACTCTTTCTTTTCTGATTTCATCATTTTGGTTTCAGCCCCCTGAACCCGCCCCAAATTTCCGCCTGAATTTCATTTTGAGCTTAATTATTGAACCGTTGAATTCTGTTTACCATCAGTGCCATCACTGAGAACGATTTTAAGCCACATCACCAATTGTCTCTAGCTCTCATTGCTTCTTACCATTCCGAGGACTCCAAATCGGTCAGTCAGGAAGTCTACACCTCCCCTACGTGGTGGCTGGCCAGCTTAAACTAACTGTTGTGGATTTCACTGACTGGTGAATCCATCTTTTAGTTTGACTATCACCACTAGCTGTTTTTCAACCTGATCTGTCCTATGTTAGTCAGATTGCGTTGCCCATCGTCGACGAAGGAGATGTATGGCTAGGGATGCATGTCTTAACCACCTCAATGTGGAATCCAAATTGCCTGAATAGGAATGATGGACTAAAACAGAATCTGACCTGGTTACAACACCTCCCTCCCCCATGAAGTGACAAAATCAACAAGAATGTGATAAGCAATTTCTTTTTGTAAACACGTACTGCTTTTGTGATTTTATACACTTATCAAATCCGACAATCTAAACTTGGTTTTGTTATCTTAACCAATTGGCCAAATTGACAGCACAAAAATTACCCCATGCTGACGAACAATGACTAAGTTGTCACATAAAAGCTGAGTGGATTTTTAAAATTCTGGCTTAATATTACTGCTGTGATAAAGTTATTAGCAGCAGTATTAAATAGCGAAACGTCAGTAAAACCAATATTCATGGGTCATTGAATCGGGTCCCAGTGGCTGAATGGTATACCAGCTTGCTTGCCTTGTAACCGGAACGTTCTAGGTTCGAACCCAAGTGGTAGGTGCGTACTGCCGATGATTCCCAAACTAGGCTGATGAAATAGCTATCCAGTACTCCCTGTCCCTGGTGGTTTTCAATGGTTCTCTAACTGTGACCAACTCTTAAAAAACAATATCATTTTGTTTTTCATCTATTGGGAAATACAAAACTTTCTTAATAGTGCAGATATACCTTAGATTAAATTCCCCATTGGTACATGTTCCCCGAGATGTGATCATTTTTATCTTTTCTTTCGATGTTTTCTATGCAGTTGCACACAAAAAGTTCTTGCATTTCTCCTCTTTGTCATTTAATCCCTCACTCCGTTATTTAATATTCCTGCAGAAGATATCACACACCATATACTACTTACAAAATCTTGTCAGTCGTATACCCCACACATACATATGCGTATAGCTCATCAAGTTCATAAAAACAAGAAAATAAGCCATACAAAATATTATGAGCCTCAGTTACATTATACTGACGAGCAGAAAACCAACTAGTGTATAGTCAGATCTCTAGACCGCTGAACGAAAGCTTTCTCTTACGTAGAACAGTACATACCTGTTGCTAATGCCTACTTCCAGTTTATACCATACTTGTTTCTCCATTATGGATAAGATTTTATTTTGATAAAGTCACACACAGTGTTCTTATACAGTAATATTTACTGATGACCACGTTTCGAGCACAATTTATTACTACTGCTCATAATCATTTCAAGGCATTACTCACTCACACAACTTTCTTGCTTCATTTATATACATGAATAAAAAATGATGATTAGATATTTGAATAAAATCAATATAAGATAAAGTACATTTGGAAATAACATTAGCGTTATCAATAAAATACAATCAGATGGGAAATAAGACAAATGTTTTTATAGTAAAATAAATAAATAACTTGTTAGAATGTGAATTGAATACACTTTAACATTACTTGTTATCTTTTGATTTGACTGGTGGTAATAATATCTTCCATACATATCTCTGGTATTTGCGTTGAGTCACTTCTCTTGCATGTGTTGGGTGTAGACTCGATGGATTTAGTAATCAACCACTCTCTCGCCACCTGCCTAAATTACATTTTATAATTTTGACTCTGTCCCACACACTCTCTTATGTGACTGTGTGTTAACGCATGCAGTGCTATTGCTAAGCTTTTTTCTAAATTACTTATCTTCGTGGGTGAGGTAAATCATTCTAACCTTAGCTAAATTCTTATGTTCTGATAATCTCACTACTCTTGATCTACTAATTTGACCTATGCAGTTGATTTCGCTCACGGTCATTACAAGGTATTTTGTAAATTATTTTATTTTGTTTAATTGGGCTCACCTTATATGGCGAAACTGTAGATGCCTTATATTCTTTCTTATTTATGTTATCATTATTATAATTTTCACCATTATTTTTAATTTGCTTTTGACCTTTTTTGATATTCCTAATGAATTTTATAGGATAGTTAGTTATGTAACACCAACGCTTCCCCCTGTGTGTTTCATTTCATCTTCATGAGAATTAAGCTCTAGTGGCATGGAAGATATTATTACCATCGGTCAAATCAGAGGAGGATAATAAATAATGTTAAAGTGTATTCAATTCACATTATTTTTACTATAAAAACACTCGTCTTATTTCCCATCTGATTGTATTTTATTGATAACATTAATGTTATTTCCAAATGTACTTTATCTTATATTGATTTTATTCAAGTCACTAATCATCAATATTTACTCATGTGTATAAATGAAGCAAGAGAGTTGTGTGAGTGAGTGAGTACCCTGATATGATTATGAGCAGTAGCAATAAATTGTGCTCGAAACGTGGTCATCAGTAAATATTACTGTATAAGAACACTGTGTGTGACTTCATCAAAATAAAATTTTATCCATAATTGAGTTATACTCTACCACAGTGCCCAAATTTTATACTTATATCAACCACACTTGTTTCACTTGTACTCCATAGGAGATATTCGATTGATATCACAGACACACACAAACAAACACCAGGCTCTCGAGTGGAACTTGAATGGAAAGAGTCAAAGGTTTGGCGTCTAAGGTTAGGAAATATTGTCAGTGACACCACTTTAAAACACGTTTCACTGGTAGAATAATTCATGAGGCAGCCTACTAGTCATTGGAGTTATCTTCAGAAAGTACATCAACAACTTACACTCTCAGTCGCTGATACATGACCATTTCCAGTGGAGGTAGTAGACTGTTTAGTACCGTTTTTGTCATCACCTGAACAATTGCCTGGAAAAGAAAATATAAAGAAACACAATTTTAATGAGATGAGAGAAAGCAAAGCATATATTATTATTATTATCACATGACAAACAATGGTTCTTTATGCGTACCAAAAGATACGCCAAGCAAGATCTTATAGTTTGTCCCTGGGGCTTGGATGCTGCCCAGACGCCTTGACCGAAGCAGGTAGTGGTTGTTTTATCCTTTGCGAATCCTTTCTGGCTATCAGTTTACTAGTTTCACTGATTTACTAACCAGTTCCAAGCCCGGGAAAAGAGGGGAAGTTGAGCGTGGGGCTGCTAGTTAACCTACTTCAGAAAACCAATCCAATCGCTACAGAATCTTTGGTAACTTTTTGCACACACCCCCAACATTCATATTCACTATTACTTTTCAGATAAATGAATGAAGTGAAGTTTTACTCAAAAATAACTTGTACAGTTACACGCAATCGCCACACCTATTAATGTAAAGAGTAATGATACTCTCCAGTTGCTTAAACCTTGACAGATAGGATGAAGGAGTGGAGGGTTTAGGCTTGTAACGCAGTGGTTGGGAGTGGAGCACCTAGACTAATAAGTTACAGTACCACATGTTTCTTCGTGTGCTTTTGGAAATGTGTGGGTGGTTGCTACTTCCCGGCTGCCCACAAAGCGCATGTTGGTTTTTTCATGGGGTATCTGAAACAGAAAGAGAATTAGTGTTGTGTGACTGCAGAGCCCAGGGGACAACTGCTTGAGACCGGTCACATACGGCCTGTTTGAACTGGCCTTTTGGTTTGGTTATTTATTAGGAACTTACCGGCGGCTACAGACCACCGTAGGGTAACTCGGAAAGTACAGTTTTTTGCGTCGACCTTTTCTAAACCCCTCTCCCCAGAGTAGAGACAGTATAGGTAGCATGCTGGGCGTCTGAGGGGAACACCTTACTGCTGTTACATCCCTGTTCCCCAGCAGTACGACTTTACTCACAGATGCCCCAGAATAGTGTAAAGAATCTTAGACAATGCGGGTAACTGTTTTTAATCTGGTCGCTATCTTAACTATCTCTCTGGCATGGTAGGACCTGTAGGAACATAAGTTATAGCCAGTGTAGTTTTTGGGGTCATTAAGATATGCAAGCACGACCACCACATCAAGGTCTGTCTGTCTGTTTTCGACATAGAACTTTGCACATATGTGCGACAGTTCAAGTCGCCACACTCCACTCCATGTAGCACACAAAGGAAGAGGAGAAAGTAAAAGAAATGCATAATATAGACAGTAAACAGAGGTGTGAGACAAAGGAATAGTAATAACCAAGAACAAAACAGTTTAATTGGAAACCATAAGTCACAAGGAGTGGATGCATCTGCGCCAGCCATTGAGAACGATTTTGAGCCATATCACCAATTGTTTCCAACCATTGGTTTTTACCGTCCCGAGGACCCCAACCAGGAAGTCTACACCTTCCTATGTGGCTTAAACTAACTGTTGTGGATTTCATTGACTGGTGCCATGTTTTAGTTTGACAACCGCTAGCTCTTTTCCAGCCTGGCCCTATATCAGCTAACATTGCCTGTCGAGGAAGGCGATGACTAGGCATACGTAACACATGTCCCAACCATCTCAGTCGATGTAATTTCACAGTCTCATCGATTGATTTCCCCGCCTTACCTAGCACTCGACGCCTAACTTCAATATTGCTCATCAAGGCAGCAGCTATCGGTCGGGATTCACATTCAGTTTTCATTCGATTCACCCCACTTTTTTTCCAGTTATAAAAACATTTATTTTAAGTTTGTTTCCATTCTTTTCCGGTTCACATTTATAATCCGTTTAAAAAAATTTGCAATTATATCTTAATCCTGTGCAATTATTTTGTGTTTCTAAGGCTCTTGTAATCTATATTCACACCTCCTAACTTCCATTTTAAGTTAAAACTATTATATCAATTTTGTTTCCATGCTCACTTTCTGCACACCTGTAATTTGCTAAATTCCATGTAATTTTGTTTCTAAGGCTCTTGTAATCTATATTCGCACCTCCTGATTCCCATCTCAAGTTGAAAATTATTATTTCAATTTTGTATCCATGCTCATTTTTACACACTTGATATCCGTTCTAATCCTGCGTAATTTTTGTTTCTAAGCCTCTCGTAAAAACCATATCTAGCTGGAAATAATTATCACCTTTTATTCACTGTCATAATTATGTAGAATCAAACAAGAATTGTCTCCATGTAAAATTATGTATTTAAATGCGATTGTACAGCTTTTGAAAATAAAATCGCCGAAAAGATATCTTTGCTGAACTTCTTATTCTTCCCAATTCACATAATGATACACCAATCGACAGGGCATTGGTTTTCAGTAGAACCAAACACACCTATCCCTGCCTTTTGAGAGACGAAACTAGAATGCAGTATCAACCTGCGGTGCAACCAGTCAGCACTCCCTCGGTGGACCAAGAGAGGGAGCGGAGAGGAGAGGAAATCAGTCGATGAGGTTGTGAAGGTACATCGATTTAGAAGGCTAAGACATGTGTTACGCATGCATCCCTAGCCATACATTGCCTTCCTCAACGATGGACGATGATAGCTGACTGACATAGGATGGATCAGGTTGGAAAAGAGCTAGCGGTGGTCAAACCGAAGCATAGCTTCATCAGTCACTGAAATCCATAACAGTTAGTTTAAGCTGTCCAGCCACGTAGGGAAGTGTAGACTGCTTGAGTGACTGGTTGGGGTCCTCTGGATGGTAAGAAGCAATGAGGGCTAGAGACAATTAGAGATATGGCTCAAAATCGTTCTCAGTGATGGCTGGCGCATATGCATTCACTCTTTGTGATTTGCCAGTCATATCCAATTGAAGTACTCTATTGTTCTTCCATATTACTATTGTTTTTCCGTCACTCACACTTGTGTTTATCATCCCTCTTTACTCGCTTCTCCTGCTCTGTGTGGTACACGGCGGGAGTGTGGCAACTTCGAACTCTGCTGCAGATCTGTGCAAAGCAGTTCTATGTTGAAACCAGTCAGTCAGTACTATCTCCCTCATATAATAATCATAACAATAATAATAATCATAGTAAACACTCACCAGAAGAATCTTTTATCACAGTTTTACATATTGGACAGACAGATTCATTGAAAGCCCCATCACCATCACCATCATCATCATTATTACTCATCAAATGAACATTATTCATTGAAACAAGTATTCGTTGACAATTAGTACATTGATTAATATATTTTGTAACAGACATCTGCTCTGCATTATTGTTTCTAGTATTGCCACTCCTAGATGCCTGTTCATCATCATCACCATGATCATTATCATCAACCGGTTCCAGCAACCAACGACGATAACGTGCAATTTGACAACATTTCGGTTCAAAGCCTAGAATAGGATCAACCGGTAAAACAGATTGAATGAATACACCATTTGGATGTGATGATACTACTGGCGTAGGTGAATGCGAAGAAGATGTAGCAGAAGTAGGCGGAGGTGTTCCACCACAACCACCACCCGCAGTCGATGAAATCGATGTTGTTGGACTAACAGGCATTTGATCAAAATAATCACTAGAACAACTAGATCGTAAACCAAGACGTGAATTATGCGCTCCTTGCAGGAAAGCAGAACAAAATGACGCTGAATGGATATCAGAGGTTGTATAATCTCGAATTGAATTTGAACGATACAGTGAATGACCTAAACGTTCAAATTCACATTGATAGGCATTTTGTAAGTCTAGCTTTAATTTTTCATATTTACTTTTATAGATATTAGTGAATTCTTGTGAGGAGTTTTGTCGTTTTGTGGATGACAATTTATTGTACTGTGAATTATTATTATTATGATTATTATTATTATTACTGTTGTATGCATTACGTCTAGATAATAGCTGATTAATGATTGTCGATTGTTTGTTACGTTGTGAAAATAACGACTGAGAATAACTTTGTTCAGCTTTACGATTATATTCAGACAGTCCGACAGCTTCACGTGCAGCCAGTGATAACAGGGACCAACAGTTTTTCGGAGAAATGTTTGTCAATGACCACCTTTCATCGTCATTATTATTATTATTGCTATCATACTCTCTGTTAACAACACATCCATCATTCTGAACTTCCGCTCCTTCTTCTCCTCCTCCTGAGGCGGCATTACCACCACCACCACCACCACCTACTGTTACTTCCGCATCTTCATCATTCACGGACACTGATGATGTGGATGGTGGTGACGAAGTGAACGACGATTTCAATCCATTTTTACAATAGGAACACTTTGGTACACGATGTGGAATAAATTTATAATTATTAATATCTGGATGAACAATTTCCAGTGGGACAATAGTATTATAGATGACAAATTCTGTACGATATTTTATCGCTTGAAACCAAGCAGCAACAGCATCTTGTACAAGGGAATGTCGATCGAATAGACTAGCGCCTAGCAGATCATAGGCTGCAGCTTTCTCATGGAAACTAATCTTCTGTCCTGTATCCGGTATATCGAAAACAGATAAATAATCCACAATCTAGATTTAAAACAAACAAACAAATGAAAAAACAAAGAGGATTTTTAATTTATAAAATATTTTTTTATGGAGAAAATTCATTCAAACATGAAGTTATCAAGTGTTAGGGTTTCTAGGGATTTGATTGGTCAAAGATTTGACTATTAGAAAACCGGTACTGGAGTACTGCACAGCTGTTTCGTCCTAGTTTCAGACACTTTAGCAACACGCGCTCACTGAGGTTCAAGCTCAGGAGCTTCTGGTTACCTGTAATTCTAGAGACAGATAGTGACCTGTAGAGTGGTTCACCAAGTTAGGTGAGGGTGGTTAAATGGTCTAGGAGCTAGCCTTGTAATCAGGAGGTCCTGGATTCGAACCTCTGTGAGAGTGGAGTTATGGATGCATACTTCTGGAGAGCTCCAAACTAGAACAAAACAGCTGTCCAGTACTTCCTGGTTTTCAGTGGTTCTCTGACTGATTTCAGACTGTGATTGAACGTCAAGTTGATTAATGAGTTTCTTCATCTTTCGCTGAATGACATTGCTTGCGTGTGTGTGTGTGTGTGTTAAGCATAGAGTCATTGGTTCTTTCTTTATAAGCAATATTAACTCAAATCCGACTGAGTCAGGAAGGACTGTAGCAATTTGAAATGATGGATTTCCGTGCAAAATATCATGCTGACTTACCAGTTGGTCAGTCAGCCAGCCAATCAAACGAGAAAATCAGCTGGGAGTACTGGAAAGCCATAAGTTTCGTCAGCCTAGTTTGAGACTCTTCAGTAGGACGCACCCATCAACCGAGGTTCGAACCCAGGATCTTCCGGTTACATGGCCATCGAGCTCGTAGACTATTAAGCCACTGCGACCCAAACGAGAAAATGCTTAAAAGTACACTGATGATAATGCTCTCATTTGTACTGCCTAAAAATACTACATTGTGTCCTGTGAAAAACTGTAAACCAACACTCCATTATGGGTAAATTTTATTTTGATAGAGTCTCACAGTGTTATACAGTAATATTTACTGATGACGTTTCGAGAACAATTTATTGCTCATAATCATATCAAGGTGATATGATTATGAGCAATAAATTGTTCTCGAAACGTCATCAGTAAATATTACTGTATAACACTACACTGTGTGTGACTTTATCAAAATAAAATTTACCCATAATGGAATTACACTCTACCACAGTGCACAAGTTTTATTCTTATATCAGTAAACCAACACTCTCTATCAACCAGTCAATGACTAACAAGTCCCTGTAGTGAGGATGCGGCTAAAGAGGACACACGCTTGCCTCCAAAGCCTCAGGATGGTCGGGGGTGGGTGCCTTGCGCTGCGAGTTGGCCACTCCTCCGCACACCTCTTGAAATGCTCCCATATGACCGGGCGTCTTACATAGCCTCTCCTGAGGAAGTCCTACTCACTGCCTTCACGTGGCGGAGGTGTTTTTCACCAAAGTGAGAGGGCGAAAGCGGAAGCCCGGCGCTCTTCACCGGGTTGACTGTCCATTGGATGACAGTCTAGGGGAGATGGCTAAACCCTGATTCCAAACCTCCAACGACTGGCATACGAAGCTCACTGGAGCTCACCGGCAGACATATGGACAAAGGGCTTGTTGGATGTCCTGGATGTCTGGCCCCATTCAAAAAGGCGTATGAACCGAACTCCGGTCACCGTCTGCCAATGGATAGTGGACTCCCTACTCCACTCCTACTGCCTTGTAGGTCACACTTGGTTGTGTAAAGGCTAGAGCTGCACTCTCAAACAAAAGGCGGAGAGATTCTGGGGACATCACTCATACCAAATTCCCATGAAACTTCATGAACTCTCTTCATCAGATCGCCGCGTCTGGATAGCGATGATTCGAGATGTTCATGAAGCCGGCTCATCCTCCCGTAGGAGATAGCCGAAGTACACTAAAGTAAGTAAAGAGGACAGAATGAAACAGAACAAAGTGAAGATGAAGTCTTCTATATTCCACTGGGAACCCAAGGGAATAATAATAATATACTACATCAAGAATATATTATCTTTGAATAAGGCATTTAGAAGACAAATTTCGCCACGAGATGATATCGTCATTTCGTAGTTTCTTTACAACAGCTTTACAACTAACATGGTTAACACCTATATATAGGACAAAATTCTGTGGACTCTACTTCAAACTGTATCTAGAAGTTCACCTGCAGCTGCGGTGACACCTATATAGGTAGAACCAACAGAATGTTCCAATGTCGCGGTCGAAAAGAACATGTTCCAAAAATGGCTACTAAATCATATAGAATATCGCAATGCAATTATTAATCTGAATAGAAATCCAGCATCATCCATTGCAAAACACTTATTAATGTCAGGTCACAAAATCAATCAATATTAATGACTGTTTCACAATTATTTCACCACATAACTCTAATTGAAGGTGATGGAAGCACTTTGGATTAATCACATGCATCCTAAACTATGTATGTACAAAAAACAACAGAATTCAATCTTCGCCTACCATGGACTACATGATGATTGGTCATTAGTATGTACTTTTGTTTTTTATATAACTGAGTAATTGTCATGAACTTTATTTTATTTTATTATTGTTAACCATGTTAGTTGTGAAGCGGTTGTAAAGAAACTACGAAATGACGATATCACCTCGCGAAATTTGTCTTCTAAATGAATGCCTTATTCAAAGTTATCAAAGGGACTAACTATTTTTAATATATTATCTGTTTGTTTGTTTTTATTTCATAGCAATGATGAACTAACCTTTTTAAAGGCTGCATTCGCTCCAGACATGATAGGTGATTGACCATATTCATCTTTACGCATTATAGCTCCATGACTCAGCAACAACTGTAGACACTTTAAATTCCCACTTTCTGTACAATCGTGTAATGCAGTATTACCTTTATGGGAAAAATGGAACAACATAAGAGAATGCCATTAAAAGCGAGGAAAACAGTAGGGAATCATTTCTAAAATAAATGAATGCTGCGTCGAACCACACGATTTTAGGCGAAGTTAAACTTTAAGCACTAGTAACTACCAATCAGAGGATGGCCCTGAAAGCACCAATCACATGAAAAGGGCTACTTTTACGTATAAAATACACGTCTATTTATGAAAATAATGTATAAAAAAGCCATAAAAATGTTACACAGGATGCCTTTCTCTGAAGTGTGACAAAAACTGACTTCCCAGTTTAACATAGGAGTACCAGTCGAGATTATTATTATTATTACTGTTTCCTTTAGTTCCTAGAGGAACATAGGGCTCCAGCCGCACATCTCCTGAAAAGGTTTTCACTTGGCTCCACGTCTGCTCACATGCTTTCAATCTTCTCTTCACATGACCTCCTCCATGCCACCCTCGCACTGACGACCAACTACTCGCCACTTCTCATTTGGGTTCCACTTGAGCGATGGCTTGTCGTGTGATGTCACTTGATGGTTTGTTTTCTCACAGTATGGCCTCCAATCGACCTACATTTATTCCTGTAGATTTGTTGCAAAATCGGTTCCTGCTGGGTTGATTCGATCATTGTCAGAGATCCCTCCCTACTGCTGATCTTTTCTGGCCATTTGATCTTGAGTATTGAGCGAAGACAGATGTTGGTGAAGGTCTGTAGTTTGTTTGAGGTGCTCTTCATGATGCGCCAAGTCTCTGATCCATAAAGTATCACTGACTTCACATTGGAGTTGAAAATCCGGATCTTATTTTTCATGCTGAGTGCTGTTAAACCATATTCCCTCCATGTATTATGTATCTAAATGGCTGTAAATAATATCCTTTTGAGATCCATTAATGGCTTTAATCCAGTCCTGCAACCATCCCCAAAATCTTTCAATGGAAATTGTGTGGCTCCCTGTAACAGGATCCACAAAATCATTAGTGTGGTTTACTGTATGATGAATATATTTCCCAGGGATGACAACGAATCATATCCTATCCAATTATCTGTGTATATTACAGATCCCTGTTTAACCATCGAGTGATATTCTGACATTTTCTCGACGAACCTGTTCCGTAAATTGGTATAGCATAATCCAATAAATGATACCTTGTCCTCCCAATAGAGAAGTAACTCTCTCCATCTCTGCAGCGTTTGTATCAGTGAACTGATGAAACGAGACTATTTTCTGTTTCAGCAGTTACAACTCTCACAGTGTTTTAAAACTCAGTAATTACAAATATACAAAATCTGAGTTCATGATGAAATCCTGTAGCTATTATTATTATTATTATTATAAGCCAGTGCTGTCAAACAATGTCAGCCTAATCTCCGTATACAGAAAGATAGTGTGATTAATCTCTCACGTCCCTGGTAAATAGATGTCTCTACTATGTTTCTGTTTTTTTTTTTTGTTGCATCACAATTTTGTTTTGATTACAACTCACTTGACTGAATTGATTATTGATCTTCCGATTTACTTAGTTATGTCTGTTTACGTGATAATTTCTACTTCTGCTCACCATTTCTCTTCACTTTCACTCTCTCCTGTCACACGTTCTATCACATTATGCATAAGTGAACTCCAGCTGTTGTTACATTATCAACTATCTTGTATTCATACCTCTTTATTCCACAACTATTTTACTTGAGTTGTAATAATGTTTGAAGTATGTTATATATATGTAGGGATTGCATTTATATGCAATGTTCACCCTTATTCTTTCCTGGATTGCTTAAAAAAGATTGTCATACTTTATTGTAGAACTCTGAAGACTGTCAGTGGTATCCAACTGGGCCATATCGTTGACATTGTCATTGATAGGCACTTGTTGTCATGCAACAAATTCGCCCAAGAGATTTTGTCAGACTGTGAGCATCCACTTTACCCCGCAGCTCCAACCTTGTGTCTCCTCCTCAGGTAAAACAAGGAGTCTTTTCAGAAGACTTTATGCACGTACGTCTGAGTATAAAAATTCCACTATACCATATTCGGCACGTATTTTATGTGATGAAAATAGTGTTAGGCATGAACTGACTAACCTTCTTTGCACTACTAAATAAACCATTTCCTCCACCCTTACAACATCAAGCTTTACTGTTATTGTACTTCTTATATTTACAGTCCTCTCAATTATTTTGTTTTTATTTGTTTTGTTTTTTTTCATAAGTGTGAACATCATTTAAGCTACAGTTAATATAACTGTACTACACTGTGTGATTTATCAAAATAAAATCTTATCCATTATGGAATCATTTAAGCTGTGTTATAACTGTTAATTTTGTATTTCTCCTCGGCATACTGTATCAACAGAACCTTAGATTCAATAATCTGTAACATGCTAAAATTTCCAAACTCAATCGACAATACTGTTTGAAACAAACTAACTGTTATTATCATTATTATTATTATTACTACAATTAATATTTTCAATTCGTGCTTCCAATTCTTTGACTTTATATCGTAAATGTGGACAAATTCCTGTGGTTAACTTTATTTATATTTTGAGTCAATCAGATGCAATACTGTGACAAATGCTGAGAAATCCATTCTGTATAAGTACTGTTTTTGGAATAAAGTAGATTATTATTATTATTATGCCAATTTTTATGCTGTTAGCAGCCGATGAGAATTCATGAAATGAGAAGAAACAAGTGAGTTATTTTCATTCTCCGAATATAATATTCGTTCTCTCTTTGATCAAATTTACTAAAGAGACTATACGTTTGTTTTGCATACAGAATCTAGAGGTGTGTGTCAGTGTAAGATGAGCTTAAGGTGTATGTGTGCAAAAGTCACCCACTATTGTTATAAGTGTATCAAGGCAGATTTTGTCAAGCATCTTCCAGGCAGAGAATTCATGAAATCCAATGCCTACTACTAATGAACAGATGTTTCATCCTATGCTTTGGATTATATAGTAATGTACAACAAAACAGTCTACGATTATCGATTTTCTAGGAAATTAATGGTCCACAACTTTGAACTACCAGTGATTTATTATTTAGTGTCGTTGGCGTATAACTATCCTCACACCCCCATTTGGTCTACTTTGATCATCACAAATTCATCTGAAAGGGTTCCAAGAGTACATCTCCCCTTTAACCTCTTCTTTGCAGTCCTATTTAACTTGCTCTACGACTGCCAGCCAATAAGCTCTGATCTCCTCCTCATACGTCATGATCTACATCACTTTCACACAGACAACTCCTAAATGGGTTCCCCTTGAGGGTCTCCCAAGAATGTAATGTCACTTAACGTTCTCCTCAGCGTATATCTGATCCATCTCCATTTCCTACGGCATATTTGTTCGGCAATACGTCATTGGCTGGCTCGTCTTTATAGTTACTTATTGCTAATTCTTCCTGACCATTTGAGCTTTAATATGGAGCCAGAGAAGGCATCTGTTTATGAGTCTGCAACCTGTTAGAAATGCTCTTAGTGAAGCGTCAAGTTTCTTACCTATATACAGGGATTGACGTCGTTGAAAATCTGAGTTTTAGTCGTTATGCTGAGAGTGCAGAAGATTTCCAAGATGATTTCAGAGTGGCGAAGGCATGTCTCGTTTTTCCGACTATGGTTATGACATCCTCAACCATGCCATCACCTGTAGTTGAGAGGATGCTGCCCCAAATAAATACAAGAAGTAACTTGCTTGTCCTGTCAATAGTGATTGGTGCTTATATTCGCTGGTTAGGTACTTTCATCACCTCAGTCTTCTTTATGTTCCACTTGAAGTTCTGTCTTCACTGCCAGCCTCTTCCACCTTCTTGTTGGTTTCCCCCTGTAGATCTTTGAGTTTGTGTGACATTCAACATAAATAGTCCTCCAAATCCAAAATTCGACAGTCTTCTTGTCGGGCGAGCGTATTTCTGTCTTTACGCTCTCCACAGACTGTCGCATGATCCAGTCCACGACAGTTATTTATTAATGTACACCTTGCACTAAGTTATTAATGAGTTCATAAGCGATTGAGCGTCGGTGGGTGGCACAGTGGTAGAATGCTCGCCAAACACGCGCATGATCCAGGGTACGATCCCTCATCGATGCACTCCTAAACCTCGCTAAGCTGGTAGTAACTTCGGCAAGGAGGGTAGGTTGGGCGTGCGGCTAAAAAACCCCACTCCATAAAAATCAATGCCACGGCTACCGAAACTTCAAAGCTTTAGCTTGAAGTCCTACATGTTCCACTGGGAACGTAAAAGAATTTAAAAATATAAAAGCAATTAAATTTTGCTTACCTTTAGCGCTTCGTCTGTTGACTCGAGCATTTTTACTGAGTAAATATTCAACAATATTGTCATGACGTCGATAACAACTAATCATAAGACAAGTGTGACCATGACGATTAGGATTTTCTATGTTAGCTCCATGTTCAACAAGGTATCGAACAACCTTAAATGTCGTCAAGAGAGAGAGAGAGAGAAAAGCAAGTCGAGGTATATTTAAAAAAAATTTAAAACACAAACTGGGTACATTATGGGCACCAAGAGATGCATATTTGTCAAGATCATTTAACATTTTTCACCTCACGTTACTTTCAGAAAGGAAAGAAAGAAGGAAATTGCAGCATGTTGGCCACTGACTGTGATTCTTGGTTATGTCTGACAACGTTTTGAGCCAGGGATTAGAACTATCTCTCCTAACCCAACCAGGTAAGCGTGATTTATCAACTGATGTTTACCTAACACAAATTATCCTACATCCCAGGACGCCACGTCATAGGTTGACTACCTCTCCACTTTCTCCATCCAGTCCTACTGCCAAAGAACAGCAATCTGTGTTTCCAGATGACGACACTCAATAAGATGGTGATCTCCACTGTAACCAAACACACGCTGCCGGACCTCAGGATTACTTACACGATGATGCCACAAGAAGCAAGCAATTCTGCAGAGACATCAATGATCGATTACGCGGAGTTGTTGCACATTCTCATCTCGGAGACGCTAAGTTTCACATGCGTAGAGTAAGACTAGATGCACTGAAGCCATGCAAACGTGACCATTGACAGCTAAGGTTAACGTCGTGACAGCGGTAGAGGTGGCTGAAATTGGAATATGCCACCCTAGCTTTTCACTATGAGATAAGAGATTTTGTCCGCCAGTACTCACACAACTACCTAGATACACGAACTTGTCGACAACTTCAAGCAGTTCGCCGGCCATGGTGAGTGCAGGTACAGATTCTTTCCAATCTTGTCACAGTACTTTGCACTAAAACAATGCGAAGTATACACCATACTTAAAGACATTGAGGTGACAAAGATCGCAGTTGTAACAGCAGTGGTACACAGTTCATGTCTACTACAATTCGCAATCAATAAAAAAGGTTCATAATGAAGTAAAAGCAAAAAACCAATACTACTTAAATCTACGATGCTTCATTGTATGCAAGTATAAACCTAGAATGGAATTCATTAGGCAACAAAATACATATCACCCATATTCAGAACCTTAGGTATTTGTTGTAGGTACATTGCGAAGTAATAAACAAACAAAAAAGCGTTCTAAGCTTTTCCATTAGACATCACGTTTATAACTAACCACTACTGCATGGTTGTTTGTTATTAGTTAAGAAGTTATAAACGCCAAAGCTTTTAGTGACTTGCATCACCCTGGGTTCGAACCCCGGTGGTGGGTGCGTACTGCTGAAGAGTCCCGAACCAGGGCGAAAAGGCTAGCTGTCCAGTACCCCCAGGTTTTCCAATGGTTCTCTAACTGATTTCAGCTCATGATGAAATCCTCCAACCAATCAAAAAAACAAAAGTTGCCTACAAATTGCCAATACTTGAAAACGTTTTAAAAAAATTGGGAAAATCAAATATCTCTTAATGCTAATAAAGAATATACTTTCTTTGAACTCAACTGACTGACTTATTTCAACGTAGAACTCTGCACAGATCTGCAGCAGTTCGAAGTTGCCACACTCCCGCCGTGTACCACACAAAGCAACAGAAGCCAGTAAAGAGGGATGATACACACAAGTGTGTGACGGAAAAACAATAGTAATATGGAAGAACAATAGAGTACTTTGACTGGATATGACTGGCAAATCACAAAGAGTGAATGCATATCTGCGCCAGCCATCACTGAGAACGGAGTTTGAGCCATATCTCTAATTGTCTCTAGCCCACATTGCTCCTTACCATCCAGAGGACCCCAAACCAGTCAGTCAGGCATTCTACATCTCCCTACGTGGTTGGCTGGCCAGCTTAAACTGTTATGCATTACACTGACTGATAAAGCCATGTTTTCGTTTGACCACAACCACTAGCTAATCCTTTTCCAACCTGATCCATCCTATATCAGTCAGCTAACAATGCCCGTCGTCGAGGAAGGTGATGTATGGCTAGGGATGCATGCGTAACACATGTCATAATTGAACTCAATTACCCGGAATAGATCTTTTATTTACCAGGCTAAGAGTTACACTTAACGTGTGAAGATTGATGTTAATATTCAGTTGCCCATGTTTAAGTAGGTGAAGTGGGACTCGAACCCATGACTTATCGGCTGAAAACTGAGTACTTAATCCACATCTTAACATCTATACAACTATGAGCACTTTTATCTCTATTACTGATTAAAAGATCATCTTTGGTACGGAGTTCGAACAGGACTTGAGTATGTTTTACGATTTCGTCAACAGATATGATACACCACCATCTTACCGAGTTCGTAAAGTTCCCCACACAAGTAATCATTGCAGATCAGTCAACAGACAATATGTGCAATCTGAAGGATGTTCACAATACTGCTAATATTCTTACACTGTAATTTCTTAATTTGAATATCTTATAATGCTAATCAAGCAGTTTTATTTAGTGCAAGGGTTCTGAATAAGACCAATTACTGAGAAGTTGAAGACAGCTTGTGATATTATTAGAGGCGTACACTTTTTTTTCCTTCACTTTCCCCAGTGGAACATAGGGCTTCAAGCTAGTGGCTTGAAGTTTCTGTAGCAGTGTTTATTTTAGGGGATGGGGTTGCTAGCCAGCCTCATGCCCAACCTTTCCTCTTCACCAGCATTATTTCTGGCTTAGCGAGGTAAAGGAATGCGTACACTTACATCAACTGAAATGCGAAAAATATTCTCCCCGGAATTTATTCAACCTGACTTACCTTTTAAGATTACTCGAGGTAAGCTCTTTCATCAGCACAGGTGCATATTTATTTTTATTCCTTCATATATCACATAGAACCCTCCACCTTAGATACTCTATAATATAATGTCAACAACTAAAGTTTAACATCAGAAGTCGATAAGTATAGTGTCGGTTTTTCAATCTCTATATTGTGCAGTGTGGGTCTAGTGGATAACGCTTCGTGGGTTTGATCATGTGGCATAGACGTTGGCGTATGTCACGAACTGCACTTTAGATCAATAGTGAGACTATTTTGAACCCCCCAATCGAGGAACTAGTTTTACCAATAATCTCAAGTGACTGAGTGATCGGCAAGCTTGTCCTCGTAACCTGAAGGTTGCGGGTTTAATCCGTGGAGGGGTCATGTGTGTGCAGGGCTGTGAAGTTCCAAGCTCCCTGGTTTTCAGTGATTCTTTGTGAGTGTGTGTGTTAGGATGGTCGCCAACCACGCGCATGGTCCGGAGTACTATCCCTGGTTGACGCATAAGCTTCACCCAGTTAACTAGTCACCAGCAAGCTCCAAGAAAAGCGAAGATGTGAGGCTAGCAATGCCACTCCGTAAAAGCAACACCACAGCTGCTGAAATTCCAGGGTTCCGCTCAAAACGCAGAGGAATAAAAATCTTAGTGTGATCCCTATCAATTGGTAACAGTGTAGTAACATATAAATGAAGTTGACACTCGTAGGTTGATCACATACATGCCATCTGAAGATGGATACACCTCCTTGTGTGCGATTACTACTCTACATTTAGTTTCCCATAGACTATAATATCTTGTACATTTCCATTCTTTACCACAAAGGAAAATCATTTCCAGCATGAATTACAGACTGATCTAGTGACAGCGTTTAACACTAATGCGAAGCAGCCTAAATAACCTCCAATCTATAATCTTCACAACTTTGTTTACGAGAAATATTATACAGTAAAATAAAGTATACCTGTTCATGTCCATCAAAGCAGGCTGCACGAAGTGCTGTTGAATTTGTAATTGTCGTCCGATTGACATCTGCACCACGACTGACCAGCAGTTCAACTAGTTTTAAATGACCAGACGCTGCAGCACACCATAATGGAGGCACACCTTCGACTTGTTCACCCTCAAACTCTACAACACCGACCTATAGAAAGACAGAAAAAGAAATAAAGGTCAGTGAATATATTCCCACTAATACCATGACTAAATACGAATCCAAAAAATGCTAAAGTTCACTTAATACCAACGACCTATTTAATTTCCAATAGTAGTTATGTAGTAGTTGTGAAGATAAGTATGGTTCACTGGTCTAGACACGCAAAATGTTTTGGTTTCAAACCGCACTCCACCAATTTTTGACATGGACAACCATGTAGAATCATAATCCACAAAATAATATCGTAGCTCACAGTCCAATCCACCACGTAGCTGAGTCGCATCGCTAATTCTGGATACTATTTTATCATAACTAATGATATAAACCAACTAGGATTACTACTGCCACTTCCTTTGTAATCATCCTTGGAAATTGTACATAACAGAATGACCACAGTTCAATTGGCATGGTCACAGGCAACAGGAAGTTATCGAAACGTTATCTGTCAAATAAGTTTTCGTCGTGTGCATGAAGCTGTAGAATATGCCGAACAAAATCCGACGTCTGCAGTCAGTAATGGATCTTCGGCAACAACCAACCATTCATTCAAGAGTTGGTTTGCAAGGATTTGATTGGCTATAGGATTTCATCATCAACTGACATAGTTTAGAGAACCATTGGAAAACCTGGACAGCTGCTTCGTCCTCGGTCGGTCGGTCGGTTTTCGACATAGAACTTTGCACATATGTGCGGCAGTTCAAGTCGCCACAATCTATGTAGCACGCAAAGCAAGAGAAGAAAGCATGAGAAATGCATAATATAGATAGTAAACAGAGGTGTGAGACAAAGGAATAGTAATAACGGAGAACAAAAGTTTAATTGGAAGTCATAAGTCACAAGGAGTGGATGCATCTGCGCCACTGAGAACGATTTTGAGCCATGTCACCAATTGTTTCCAACCATTGGTTTTTACCATCCCGAGGGCCCCTACCAGGAAGTCTACATCTTCCTACGTGGCTTAGATTAACTGTTGTGGATTTCATTGATTGGTGCCATGTTTTGGTTTGACCGCCGCTAGCTCTTTTCCAGCCTGACCCTATATCAGCTAACATTATCCGTTGTCAAGGAAGGCGATGACTAGACATACGTAACACATGTCCTAACCATCTCAATCGATGTAATTTCATAGACTCATCGATTGATTTCCCTTCCTTACCTAGCACTCGACGCCTAACCTCAATATTGCTCACCTTATTATACCACTTCACAAGGGAGATAGAATGCAGACACCTGTGATCGAATACAACTAATCTTTTCATGTCTTCCGCTCTCAATGACCAGGTCTCACAGCCATAAAGGAGGACGGAGCGGACTGTTGAGCAGTACACACGCCCTTTGGTCGATAGTCGGATATCGCGTCTACGCCAGAGACGGCGAAAACTGGCGAATGCGAACCTGGCCCTCTGTATTCGTGCTGAGATTTCGTCGGAGATTAACCCGTTGGGGCTGATGGTACTTCCCAAGTAAGTGAAGCGGTCAACGTGCTCTACCACTTCACTTCCTATTTCTAATCTAGGGGTCGATGAAGTCCAATCCTGCAGCATCATCTTACATTTTATAGGGGCGAATCGCATGCCAAACATGCGGAGATTGTTGCTCAGGGTGTTCAGTAGACTCTGCATTTTGTCATTTTGCTTCGTCCTAGTTTGGCATTGTTCAGCAGTACACATCCAGTGGGGCTCGAACCCAGGACCTCCAGTTACAAGGCAAGTTCGTAAACTATTAAGCCACTGGGACTCGATCTGATGCACATTGGAAACAGGCCCCATTCAGGTGGGTAGTTACCTGAATTCTAGCGAGAAGTCGTGACCAGTGGAGTACAGCAGGTAAAGTGTGAGGACAGATACTTGCCACGGATGACATTCACCAGTGCCAGTCGCGCCATATTGTGAATCGGCAGAAGTTAGAACTTATGGGCCATTGGATCGGGTACCAGTGGATAATTTATCTACTACCTCGCCTTGTAACCGTTAGGTGCTGAGTCCGAACCTCAGTGGGTGCGTACTGATGAAGAGCCCAAACTAGGGGGAAGCAGCTGTCCAGTACTCACAGGTCTTCCAATGCTTCTCTCACCGGTGCCAGCTCATGATGAAATCCTGTAAATACAATTGGCAAGTTTATCCGTACCGAATGACAGTGGTGGACAGTGTATGTTTAATTACTGGGGATAGACTTCCGTATATCAGGCTGAGAACCGCACTTATCCTGTGGGATCTGATGATACTACCCAATTGCGCGAGTTGAAGAAGGTGAGGAGGACTCGAACCTGTAGTCCGTTGACTCAAAATCGACAGCTCGAGCTAATAAGTTACACAATATGCATTCACAGCGGTACTGGATGATGAATAACTTCAGGAACGGTGTCATCAGAAAGACACAAATCACTTGTGAGTTTTGAAAAAATTCTCTTGAACCTTCACAACATTATTAACATGCTGCTACATTTGAAATCAAGATTTCAAAATAATCAGATTGATTTCCACAAATTTGTAATATTCTCAACTTCAATAGATAGTGATTAGAGTCAGTAAGATCATATATAAATACTCTACGAGTCTGAAGGGCGACTTATCTCCTTAATAAAGATGTAGTGCTTTCATTGGTTTGCCAGTTAACACCTCAGTAGCTAAACGTCATCCTCAGTCCTGAAGAAACAAGTTCAACTTATGACTAAATAAACGAATATGCATGTGACTGGTGAATCTGAGTGGTAGTACTTTGTTCAAGAAAGGAGGGACAGGAGAAATTCAAGAGAACTATAATACGCAGAAATGTGTGGAGAAAATAATAGTAACATATTAAAAAATTGGGAGGATTTAGTGGAGCTGAGAGATTACAAAAGGTTAGTGAGTCTGCCCCACTGAGAACGGTTTTGAACCCATAGTCTCAGGTCATTGGTTGCTAGCATCCCCACAACCATGGCCAAGCAGTCTACACCTCCCTGAATGACTCATACTAACTGTCAAAAACTTCATAGACTGATGCTATTATTGATTTTTTTCCTTCCGTTCCCCAGTGGAACATAGGGCTTCAAGCCAGTGGCTTGAAGTTTCTGTAGCAGTGTTTATTTTAGGGGATGGGGTTGCTAGCCAGCCTCATGCCCAACCTTTCCTCTTCACCAGCATTATTTCTGGCTTAGGAAGGTAAAGGAGTGCGTCGGTGGACGGGGATCGACCCCCGAACCATGTACATGGTCAGCGAGCGTCCTAACCGCTGTGTCAACGACGCACAAAGGAGTGCGTCGGCCGGGATTGATTAGCATTATATTAATCTTTTATCACAATTGAAAGGTTGAAATTTACACAAAATTAAGAAATAAGTTCTCAGTCACTTGATGACTGATATAAAAAAACTAAATAACTCAATCCTACCAATCTCTACATTTAAAAGAATTCATGCGAACGAAGCGTACTGGCGATTTTCATAAGGATAGAAAGCTTAAGAAGAATTACAGAATAACAGCAAACAATTATAAGGCTACAGGACGCACTTTGGTGATTGTAGATAAAAAAAAACAACTTCATAACAACTAGAAAAAGAAAACTCACTTGTTCAACATCTGCTCCATGAACATCGATTAAATATTCAGCAACATCTAAATGACCTAAATGACAATATATTTTCAAATATTATATAAACTTTAAACAAGGCTTACCATTTCTACAAGCGACAATAAGACAAGTTTGACCGTCAAGTGAATTTTTATGAACTACTTGGCCAACAGAATGAGCGCATTCTTTCAGAGCTTTTAAATCACCAGAAATGCAATAGTTAAAAATATTCTGTTCTGTAACTAGTCTATTATTAGCAGATGCCATTCAGCTGTTAATCTTGAGGCTTTGATCGAAGTATCTGTAAGGCATAAGGGCAATAGCAAAAATGATAACCACTAAACACCACACTATTCGCTAAATGTTTGATGATGAAATCATGACAGATAGTTTGCTGATGGCTGAAAAGAAGGCACGAAAGCGAATAATGCAAGTGTATAAATAGTAATGTTAATTCATCAGTATTTAGGGGAAGCTTTATGCTTCATTTTATCGTAGAATGTGTTCAAAAAAATAATAAATGTATTTTAGGAAATACCACCAGATATTGAGATGCTTCTATGAACTTTAGAAATAGGATAAAAAGAATACTACAGTTTTAAACACCGCTTGACTAATCAAGAACGGCAGGAGTTCAGAAATTCTTTGGACAACCATCATAATGTAACAATGATCTACCTAAACGAAGAGTACATTCTATACAGGATAGCCGGAAACGGAAATCTCATGTCACTAGTTTCCGACAGTATACGCTTTAGTTCATTGATTCCGCAATTTACAAGCGTCACATAATTATAAGATGGTATAGTTTATTGTATAGCAAACTTTAGCTGTGTTGAAGGATGGGACGGTCTTATTCTTCACTGCAGAAACTCATCTATTGGGAACAGATTTTCCATGTATCGTGCTATGAGCCGCTCTTGAATGCGGGCTAATGCTACTACTGTCATCTAGATTCAACTAAATGATACCACCATGATAAGGAATTTAGGCTGCAGTAGATATAACATGACATACATAAATGAAGAATGGAGAATGAATGGAGAATCAAGTTAAATAATTATGCGAAAGCACTTAACAAAGCCTCCAATATCCTTTGAGTCTTCTGCTGTACAAAAATGGTGTTGCCCGACTAACACCCTTGCACATCTTGAACCATATCAACTGCCTCAGCTGCAGTTTCAAGTTTTCAGCAAGAAACTAAGCATCACGAGATGACAGCTAAAAACGAAAATACTTAGTTCCCAGAAGATTTAAAAAATTAGCTGTAGCAGAATTTTAACCGCAAACCCTCCTATTCTAAAACCCAACAAACCGGCAAAGAATCGTTAAGTAATGAGTGAAATAGGTAGATTTTGGACAAACGTCAAGAATGCTAAAATAATGGGCAGAAAACTACTATTATTGGGTAAACGGTAAGAACGGTAAGACATTGGTTAAGTGATAGTCACAACGGCAAAATTCTTGCCTTATAACCGAAATTTGCCTATTTTCTTACTATAGGCTTGGCCCAATATTTACCCACTTCCTACCGACTTTGTCCTACTGGGTACCTTCGACCCCCTGTACTGCAGTTCATCCAGCAGCCTCCATTCGCCCTATTAAATTCAAGGTGAAGGTTCTTTATTGTAGGTCGACTCGAACTAGTTCCCCTGAGTAACATTTTCGGGTCCCCAAGATGCCATTGTACTCGTGTGACTGTCTTACAACAATTATTTTTAGGCGATCAGAAAACTTCGGCGTACAAGAAGCTTCATCTATCATTATGGACACTATTCTTAGCCAGCATTTTCTTCGGATTCACTGCAGAACTGTCGGGATAAAAGAAACTTAGGGCGCATTGCAGAAAGTGGGACAGTTATCTGTAGTCTAGACTACAGCTGTCTCAAAATATCTGCAGTGAATGTAAATATTTACGTATCCACAAAAGCTTTTCATATTGAGGTATTATTTTATACTTTAAAATACGTAATTCACGACTTGGTTGGTGGTAAGAGTTTTGACTTCATCGACATAAAATTTTACTTTTATTAGGTTTTAGGGGACAATATCAGTCATAAGCGAGAATTTATTGCTAATTATCAATTCCGTACATAATAAATGTCAGGCCTCCAGTTGTAGACCAAAGCGGTTTATAACAAATCCAACCGCACCACACAATTTATCAGCGAAAATGCATAATAAACCCACACAGGAACTACCGAAGCATCATCAGCAGATCTGACCTTGACCGGGTTTTCCTTGAGACACTTCCAAGATTCAATCTGTCCAATAACTATTAAGTAGAGGGTAGAGGGTAAAAGATTTAGGCTTTTTCCTCCTCTTAGTATCACAAAACATTATGGATGAAGTTAAGGAACACACACCAAACACTTGATCACGGCAAAACGTTGAAACCAGGAGAATTACAACATAATCATTCAATGAAAGTGTCAAAGGAGTGTAAGTGTATGCCTGGTGGGTTTGAGAGGTGAGGCTGAACAGCAGTAGCCGCCACCAACATCCACATTGACCTGATGATGACTGATCACATCATGAATCACGCATTGTTTCGCTTCCAGCACTTTCTTTTGACCTGAACTAAAAATATTTACGTCTGGACTTAGGGATAAGATTTAGCTTAGGCATTAGTATACGTCAGACCTCAAAGTTAGATTAGGACCAAAGCCGGGTTCAGGATGAGTAGGTAGGGTTGGTTTAAGTATAAAACTTGGGCACTGTAGTAGAGTATAACTCCATTATAGATAAGATTTTATTTTGATAAGTCACACAGTATTATACAGCAATATTGGATGATGAATGACCATGCATGTGTTCGCTTGGCCTTCTGCTCTCTGTTTGCACGCAATCGTGTTTGAGAAATACAAATTTGAAAACAAACATTATCTTACGACTGCGCGATATCAGTCATTAATTTTAATTACTTTTTGGTACAAGAATAAGTTATTTGAGATTTTTCGCCCGTAACCCTGTGCTCCTCATACAAAAGAAGGCGAACAAGAAAGGCAGGAACCTGTGGCAAAAGTTACAAAGTCTCAGTTGGGCTCGTGCAAGCATGCATTGCACAAATGGAGAGATGAATGGTGATTTAGTTTTTAGAGGATGCAGGTATCGACGTTCGCGAGTTGTACGGATTATACTAACACAAGATCTTATACCAACAACTCCTATTGTGTTCGCACTTCGAGTACCAAAGATAAAGCAAAAGACCAGACTTTGTCGTCCAAATACGAGATATATTTCGGGACCGAATCGCGGGTAGAAGTGAATGCTTAGCTAGCTAGTAATCGTGCACGCACGTGACACGACGGAGTACCAAATGGCGGGGATGCTTGACCGGAAGCCTTCAGCTAAACAAGTCGACTTAAACAGTGAGGGTCAGCATCCAATGTTGAGTGATGATTGCTGTGGTTAATAATTTTGGGGAATTATTTACCGCTACAGCTCACTCCCCCCCTAGTGGGGTTGTGAGGACCCTAAGACATGACCAGCCGGAAGTAAAAAATCTCGATGGTTCCCTGATGGGTGAAAAAAATCTTCCGAGCGGCTTGATCGAGAGCCTGCTGGTCTGTCTGCCTATGCTAATAGGGTGTCTGTACGTAGCTTCCTCAATGTTGTTCGTTGGATCCCGTGCTTCGTTTGTTTCCTGTCCAGTGCCCGTTGCACCTGGAAAAGAAAACAAGAATGCTGAGAACCTTGTCAAGGAAAATGTACCAAATAAACGTTTTTTACAAAAAAAATGACGTGCATCTACTATACAGTAAAATAATGTAAAGTTCAAAATATCGGGAAAAAATATAGACCTAATTTAATTTTTTTCTAAGTGCATGTTCAATGTACGGTTATAGGAAAATAGTCGTTTATTTGTGTTAAGTGATGCAACATAAAAAAAATTGATGTGTCACTCATTTATGTGAAATAGGTGTGAAGGTATTCTGGGAATCTAACGTGACATCCAGAACGCGTTTCCTTAGAGCGATCGACCGAAGTTTCGGTGGCTTTCGCTGTGCTAGGGAGTTCTTCGAAGACTAAAGGAGATTCAATTACTTGTGGATTATGGGGTACGTTTAGCTCTAGGCTAATAGGACTACCTTCCAAGTAAGCCGGTTTCAGACGGTCGATACTGGCGGTGTCTTCGCGGCCTTTCTTGTCTAAGACGAAGAATTTATCAGTACGTTTAATCACTTTATATGGTCCGTCATACGGGGGTTCTAGAGGATGACGTACAGAGTCGCGACGAACAAATACGTGTGAAGAAGTTTTTAAACAGGGGTGAATGAAAACATCAATGGACTGTGGTCGGAGGGGAGCAGGTTTAACTGAACGCATTGCGTTTGTAAGCCTACTGACGTATGAGGAGTGATCTACTGCTGGTGGGAAGCTCGAAGGAGAAAAACTCACCTGACAGTCGTAGTGTCGTGCCAAATACTAGCTCAGCGGTAGTACAACCAGCATCGGTTTTTAAGGCGTTTCGTATCCCTAGGAGAACTAACGGAAGGGATTCAGTCCAATGAGTGTTATTTGCAGCTGATAAACCAGCTTTCAACTGTCTGTGTAGAAGTTCTACCATACCATTAGCTTAAGGATGGTAGGCTGTTGTTCGAAAACGCATGCAACCAAGGATTTTAGTTAGAGCGAAGAATAAACCGCTTTCGGATTGCCGCCCACGATCAGTTGTTATGGAAGATGGGCATTCAAAGTTTGCGATCCATCTCTCTACAAAGACGCGTGTGACAGTTTCAGCAGATATATCCTTGACGGGTACTGCTTCAGGCCATCGTGTGAAGCGATCGATGCAGGTTAACATATAGGTATATCCATGAGATTCTGGAAGGGGGCCAACTAAATCTATATGGACGTGTTCAAAACGGGCATCGGGGATAAGAAAGGTGCCAAGTGGGCTTTTGGTGTGTCTTATTACCTTGCACTTTTGGCAATCTAAGCACGTCTGTGCCCATTCCCTTACTTCCTTGTTAATACCAGGCCAACAAAACCGACTAGTCACGAGCTTGACGGTAGTTCGAATACCTGGGTTTGATAAGCCATGCAACGTATTGAAGACGTTACGGCGATAACTTTTAGGCACAATAGGGAGAGGAGTACTAGTGTAAATGTCGCAGAGAATAGTATCTTTTCCTATACCTAAGGGTTTTTCGGCTAATTGTAGAGTTGTTTTCGACAACTCATGCTGCAGCTCGGTATCTTCTTTTTGAAGACGAGCCAGTTTTACAAGGTCTATGCCGTCGATTTGGGTGAAGGAACAAATA